AATTATCTTTTTTGTGTGTGTAAAACATGCTACCAAATATTCAGAAACTTGTATTGATGACTTTTAATCCAAAAAATATACATATATTGTAAAAATTTTGGTTTTCTGGAAAAATTTGATATTCTCGAAATGGGATTCCTGTATTGTTTTTTAAATGGTCCCGATTATGAGGGTCCCTAAGGAGAAAAATGGGAGCTTGGATTCGCCTTTTTGGAGAACTGGGAAAATGGGATCGATTTTATGCACTGGGAATGGAATACACAAGCGAAAAAACAATTAAAATTGGAATGGGATTGAGATTTAGGCAAAATACAGGCTGGGACTATGGGATTTGGTCAAATAGGTGGCTGGGAAATGGGATGAGGTCCCCTTCAATTCTGGACTCTCGTTTATTATGCCCTATATTAATTCTTTTTACTTTAACAAAAATTAATACACTCCCCTTCCTAAATATATATTGAGTTCGAGCATGAATGCACAAGTCCAGTCATGTAGAAACGGCTTTAAATGTACAAAAATAAAAAATACTAAAGGTTTTAATAAAAAAAGTGAATGCAATGAAGATTATCGCAAAACTTACCATCCACTTTATTCAAAAGCTGCAAACTCTCCGCTATTAAAGTAGATAAACATGAAAATCAAATCTTAAATTTTACAAATTAATCAAAGATGAATAATTATGATAATAACACGCAAGATCCAGAAACCTCAAAATGAACACGTAATAAGATAGATTTGCTGTACTTTTGTTGCAGGGCAAAGGATAAAAATTTCAAGGAATTAATAGCCATGTAGATATATTTTGTAATAGATAAGGAATACCACAAATAAGTTAGGAAGGATTTCAAATATGGAATCAAGGTTTAAAGATTTTACGAGCTAGACTGAATAAATTAGGGTGTACTCCAACTAAAAATATCGGTTTGATTCATAAAGTGACTATAAATGCAAGAAAAAAACTTAGCAGAAACTAAGGTCTGAAGCTAGGGCAGATATCTTACTGCTGTTATTTTGAATCAATATTCCCGGTTCTGGATTTAAGATTATAACCGAAGCTTTCAACTGTTTCAAGCTGGAGCTCCATGTTCGAGGTCACTTTTATGCTGTTTCAAAACTGGACCCCTAAAAAACACGAAGCGCGGCCTCAGTCTCATAACTATTATGGCAATTAACTGTAAATTTGCTTACCTTTGGCTTGTTTTCCCTCTACAGTGTCTGCCATTCTACAGCGTAATCTTCTGGAGCTTTACGCGTTGCAACCTCTGCGTTTCGAGAGACCGTAAGATTATCATTATATGCAAATCACATTTTACTTTTATGTCCTGGTAATATAAGCATGCATTACTGATTAATTGTCTTAAAATATCAAGGGAATAAACATGGCTTTGTTGACTTTAGATTGAGTGATAGTGATAGACTAGACTCTAATGAGAGTGATAAAATGCAATGATTAGTAGCAGATATACAAAATAACAAACATTTTGACTAAGAACTGAAATGTGAAATATGAAAATGCAACTGTTTTTATTTGCAAATTAAATTTACAAATTTTGTTATGATTATACTCTTAATTTTCAAGGTGTAAAAATATTTGGAAGCATACTGAGTGAAGCCATACAAAACTTTCTCTAGCTCAGTAACCATGGCAATAAATCATATCTGCAATGCCATGCTTTTTTTGGTGTAGAACATTAAAACTAACTTCTTACTATTGAAAATGAAATATCACAGATAGAAATGAATAAACAAAAAAATAAAAATGAATGGTACAGAATTGAACAGAATATAATGAAAAAATGGAATATCAAAGATTACAGTAGACTAGAATGGATTAATATAGAGCAGAATAGAATGAGTTGGAAGAAAATAGAACGGAGAGAATGGAACAGAATAGGATTGCATAGAGTAAAATGAATAGAAGGAAAGTTGTAAAGATATGAAATTATATTATATATGTATTTATGTATTTGTAAATATTTTTTCCTTTTTCTGTTTTGATGGATGGAATAAAGATCATTAAAAAAAAAAAAAGGAAAGTGGACTATACGAGACAAGAGGGAGTGGAGAGATTTCTTATAAGATTTTTGATGCAGTAATGCTCAATTATTCAATGATTATTATTCTTTATTAGAAAAATAGTGCAACCACAAATTATTACACATCTTTGAGAAACGTTCTTACTTAACCAATAAAGCAACAGAGTGAAACTTCATTTTTTTCCAATTAACTTYGAAAACTTCAGTGAATTAAGTTTTTTCCAGGTAGCTAAATTTTACAGTGCAACGTGTTGTACCATGAATACTTTAACATTTCAATTCTCTGCCTTTAAAAACATCAAAGTGAAGTTTGTCACTATTCTCATGAGGAAATAGAAATTTCAATAACATAATTTGCAAAGCATTTTGGTAGTGTTAATAAAACGACGCCTTCATGCAAACGGCCTAATGGTTAGCAATAAGGAGTATTCAAAGTTGACAAGGTGTCAAAGAAAACTTAAAAACTTGTGAAGTGTTGACAGTACAGCACATAACACACTACTTATAAAAACCATTCAAAAACAGAAACTTTAATGAATTTTGGGCAGTAATAGACTAGAGTCTTTAGCTATATTATTATTCTTTACCATTTCAGACCATGTGTTAGTCCCTCGAGATAAAGATTCTTGGTTTGAGTTGCAAAGATCCATATGTAGCTTCTTAATATTGGTAAACACAACAATATATACACAAAGTAATGCATGGAGAACCCACCGAATTAATAATAATCTTTAAGCCACTAAAAGTCATAAAAAGTTGACTTTGAAATTTAGAAACTGTGTAACTAATGAAAAATACATTTATCTAAAATTTCTAGTGTCCTTTTGCAAGCACTCGAGTATGGCCTCTTGCAGAGCATCATGGGATTGTTTGAGGGACAAGATTTAACAGTGGAATAATATGAAGCATGTCCCCTAGAATGCAACATACAATTGGTTATTTGATTTTTCCATTCAATATTCATTTTAAATGTTCTGTTAATGTATTCAAAAATAAGTTCAAGTCTTGAACTCTATGGCATAGACTTTTTCTCAGATAGTGAACAAGGCACATTGTGGTGTAGATTCAGTACAAACATCTTTTGTTCATCATGTTTTACATGGTTTATGTTGTACCGAAGCTAGACCACCTTTGCATCCTGCTTATCAAACCCAGAAATGGCCTATGTTTGATATGATGAAAAATGATAAACAGTTGAAACAGAGCAAAATTTGCAGATTACAGCCTGTTTCATGTTTCTGTGACCTAACTGACTCAAGAGTCAGGAAGTACAGCTGTAAATTTGAATGGTGGTAGCCAAAACACCAAACAGCTCCTAACATTTTGTAGTTGGTTAGGTCATAGAAACATAAAACAAGCAGTAACGATAAGCTCAACTACATTCCAACTAAACACAACCGACTGATAAACATGGAGTCTTACAAGTCTGTAGTAGCTTGCTATAATTTGAGTGTAATTTTGATTTTGAAACAACCAACTATCCAATAACAAACTGAATAATGCAGTCTATGAGGCACATTGCATGGAACAAGAAAAGTCATATATACAAAACTCAATGTTTTAGCTTATCTCGTAAGTTTAACAGCTTTAAAGCTGGCCCAAGCTTCATGAAATGAAGAAGTGAATCCTGTTCCAATAACATGAGCGCATTCCCATCAATTTCTTGCTCCTCTAGAAAATCAACCATACTTTTAGAACATTCTTCTTGGATGTTAAAATGATTGATTACATCTTTTACGGACCATTTTGAAACATTAGAAGGGCCGTACATCGAACCAGGATTTGAGAGGCTCAAATCTCTCATGGGCTTTGAAATCTCACATGTTGGACTAAATTGTGAACTGGGTGTTCCATTGTGCATTGTGTACGGGTTACCTGTTTGGGTTTTATTTGATAAGCTATGATAATAGTTGTTGTTTACTCCACCAGGGTAATTATATCCATTTTGTGCATCGTTATTGGCTGTTGCTACTAGTCTAGGGCTGGTTATAGATGAGTTTTGATAACTACATCCCCTTGAAGGAGAAGGCCTTCCAGTAGAGAACATTTGGGATGAGTTACTACTTGTTACAGGATGATTCCCCTGTGGTCCTGCAAATCTTTGGGCTGTATTTGGTCTTTGTGAATACGACTGTGGCGTGCCATTGCTCTGTGCCAAATCAGAAGATCTAGATCGCACTGCACTCTGCACATAGTTTTCTCCAGAAGAGCCTGTAGCTATTGAATACACTAGTTGTGTACTGGTATTTTCAATGGATTTCGTTCCCGGTATATTCTGAACACCATTTTTCCCAGATGAACTTGTCGGCGCAGAACTCATATCCGAAGTATTGTTAGTATGCCTAACATCTTGTGATGTATAAAACACATCACAATTCTCATCCTTACGGAGATGTTTCTGTTCATTTACTGTCTTTTCATCTTTTGGGCTTGTTCTTTCATTACCGGAATGATTCTGGTGCCCTTTTCTATCCCTTGATTTTGAAAGAGACTCGGAGCTGTTAGTCCGTTCTTTGTAATACCTATTTCCTCTAGACTTCTGAGACTCATAAGCTGGCCTTACGGTGATAATACTACCACCAAGTTTAGTGCCATTTAACTTGTTCAAAGCTCGAACTGCTTCTTCCTGATCTAAAAACTTTACAAATGCTACTCTATCGTTATCATAGGTTTTGATAATTTTGCATATCTTTACGAATCCTGAACTCTCAAATAAGGAGCGTAAGTCCATCTCGTTTATTTCTGCTGAGATATTACTGATGTGAAGTCCATAATGTCCGCTCCGGTCACGCTGAATCGTTATCTTATCTGAATGCTGTTGGAGTTGTTTTTCTTCTTCCTTAGCAACAGTTGCCATGATGATGCTAAATCTTTGTGCTGGTTTTATTTTAAGTTATCTCTAACTACTTGTTAAAACCTGCAAAGCAATTAGAAATTATTAAGCTATGAGTCAGAAATAAATCATTATTGGCAGACAAAATACTTACAACTTCAAAATGCCTCGATCTAATGTTTTCAAATATTTACCTACAAGCAGAATACCAAGCTCGCATTCTAAAATGCTTAAATAATTAAAAAGGCTACACTACAAGTCCTTACTTTTCTAAAGCTATTCTCAAGCTGATTAAAAAAGAAAATTGTCGAAGAAATTATTTATTAAAAGCTTTCGAAAGCGCGCGAATGTGTTTCTTGGAGACGTCTTGATCATGACACCTTGATTTTGAGGAGGCCATCTTTGATATCGTAATTCACCCCAACCAAACTACTATTTCTATCGAGATGTAGTGTGCTGTATCAACCAGTATTATTCATTTTAGCTCTTAGATGCCATAAAACATAGAAATATAAATATTTTTATTGAACATTTTCATGTCTAAGCTCTGTTTGCTCAGCAAAAGTCGGTTCAAAGATCAACTCCAGAAATCCGGCAAAGTCTTTCACGAAAACGCAGAAAAAGCGGGCTTGAATGACAAATATTTGTTACGGAATGATCTATTCAGATATCATGCAAGTTATTATAGTCTATTATTACCTGGGTGAAGAAGCTTTTCGAATATTTTGGTTCCTTGTTTAACGACTTGGAACGCCAAACCTTCAAACTCACGTGGAACTGAACATGAACGAGTGAACCTGGAGATAGCTAAACAGGGACCCCATTTCCCAGATTCCCCGAGATGTGAGTAGAGTCTCGCGTTTAACCTAAAGACAAGCGCTATCACATGGGAGTAGAGTTTGTCAAGCCCCTCCCTTCATTCAAGGGTTTTTTCTCCCTTTTCCCCCTTCTTTTTTCCCGTGTGTGTGTGGTATATGTGTATGGAGAGGGTGAGGGGGGTTACAATCCCATTCGTTCGATCTAATATCTACTTGATAGCCATGCCATGAAAAATAGATCAATCCAGAGGCTACGGCTTTAGGGTACCAAAAGACGTGTGCTGCAAATCAGCGTTTGTATCCGAATACAGCTAGACCTCTCGACCTTGGCTGTAGCGTTTTGCCATTTCAGAGCCTGTATCATTCCCTAGAGTATTATTTCTTTTTTCAATGATTACGCATGTAAAGACAATATAAATTTTATTCTCAAGAGAAGGACATGTGGTCTGAGATGGGAAATTCTACAACCAAGGTAAAGAGGTCTATTCGCGCATCAAGTTTTACACCTTCAACTAATAATTCTTTTGAAGTTAATTTTATTTCATTTTTTTAAATGTTAGGCTAATAAATGTTGATAAAAATCTAAGCTTTAGCTCAAATAACTTTAAACAAAATAAATCATTTTACACATTGTTCATTCCTCCACAGGTAGCCCAAGCTTGGTTTCTGTGGTGTCCTGTTATAAGGAAATGTATGGGGAATCATCAAAAATTTCAATAAAATCATCAAAATGTGAAATAAAGCCTCGAAATTTTACCCTATCATTGAGAAATAGCACTTCTTTCGCTCTGCGTGGTTATTTTTTGAATTTAGCCCGTTTTAAG